CCATTTTCAGTAATTTACTACACCTACTGCACCTAGTAAACTGACCCAGCCATTTTCTCTGACTACAGTGAAAGCACCAGATGGAGGCTAAATATGCAGGTTTTTGGAGATTTTTCCCACATTGCAAGTTCGCGCCCCTATCACCTTTGCGATTTTGGGGGTGAACCGGAAAAGGTGGGGGCGAACGTGCAATGGGGCGAAATCTCCAGATACCAATATATTTTGTTCTTACACCACCTTTACTAACTACACTGATAGCGCTGATTGTGCCGAGCAGAGTAACGAAACAGAGTTACCAGCTAAGCTGACTTACGATTCAGGTTTCTGGAAAACAAGAAGATTTCGAAATCTTTACTTTTTCTTCATAGATTAAATCAGTCCGATAGGGACGCCTCGGTAAAGAGAAGTGGTATCAGCTCTGTATCTATCGACTAAGCCATTCGGAGAAACCGTCAAAAAACCGCTCATTCGAGAATAGTCGGGAGTGTTCGGACTTACTTCGGGAATCGGAAATTGACCATGCCCAAGCGGTCGTGGATACCAGCGAGTGTGTAAGGTGGGAAAATGCGAAGACAAAGACTCTCGTGTTAATTGGTTGATGTCAGAGAGGTTGCACGCTCCTCCTGGTCGCTTTCCGCGTCTCCAAACCTCAGAGTAACCTCGTTTCAAAGCTGTCTCTTCTTCTCTCGCTCAAAGTAGTAAGAAGAACAAAGAGACTGGAAACGAGTTTGACCTGAATGCGTAGGTGTGCCGTAGTGGTTGCAACCGACTGAATTGAACAACATCTGTGCAGGTCCTCAATACGCTTGTGAATCAATGGCCACACTACACATAAATTGACATGGCGGAAATTTTAGATAAGTTGAAAGCCATTATATCCTTTATTCATTTCAACAGCTAATTAGAAATCCAAATTTTATAACACACACAACCCACAATTCTTCCTTACGCTCGGACGAAGGGCTAACGCTCGAAACGTAAGTTTTTAAACTTTTACAAACAAGTTACATTACCAACTCAGTCGTTAAAACCAGATTATCTTGTTTTACTTCCCCACTGACGCAGCACCATAGTTTATTTACTGAGAAACTTACCCCCTTTAAACAGAAATTGTCTTGAGGACCGCAGCACACATATCTACATAATTAAAGTGAATGTATTCCGAGATCTGAACACAACAATTTGCAGCTAATTTGGGTAAGTGTGTAGGATAAAACTACGGTGCGCAAACCTGCAAATGCATTTTGTGCCCTTGATAAAGAGACAGTCTGAGGCGAAAGTTTTAAGGTTAAAGGCCCTCTGTTTACGTCTTAACCCACGCAGAGAGTCGTGCTCCTTCCTAATTTTTTATAAAATAATTCGCCATTTTAGTGTAGTGTAGTTGTGGTGTCACGCGTGAGCCCACGAAAATGTTTGACATGCGCAGACCTCTCTCAGCTCTTTCGTAGGAACCACAAAACGCACTTGACACTAACATTGTTAAAATTAGTGTATTATACGAACACACTCGGGTATGTAGGCAAGCTGCAGCAGACCAGACAGTGTCAAGGGCTGCCAACCAGATAAAAAAGAAGATACGACAATATTTATTTTAAAACTGCATGACACATTTCGATTATTAAAAGAATTATGTGTCAGAATAAAAAATTTTCCAAATATATGAAGCCTGACTGATTTCATTCTGGGATATTGAAATGTGATGGGAGCTGGAACGCGGGGGAAAACTAGGAGCAAAGTGTACGCAAATCTGGCGCACATTGGGCGCAAGCTGCGCGCAAAAATGGTCCAGTTACCGCCGCTCCCCGGATCTGGTCTGTGTTTCTTCCCACTGTCAGGAGAGGGCTGATTATCCTGTCCAGGCGCACATACGAACTTGTCAGAATAAAAAAACGCCCGACAATATAGTTTCCTGCCATTAAGACCTTCATTTGTCTCAAATTATGTATCAAAGACTAAACATTTTACCACTAACAAGTTGATTTATCTCATCATAAGGAATACGGAAGAGATTAGCCCCAAAGCAATAATGATCACTTCAGCGAAAGAGTTATGTAGGTTCTCGAAACTTCGGATCAAACTACCCTGCTTACGTCGGAAGTTCAAGTGGGAAGTGAACTTTTCTTGATTGTCATTTTGCGTTTTTTTGGACCACTTCAAACAGCTTATTGTACCAACAGTATTTAGTCTTCACAGCCTTTGCGGAGCGTTTTTTGCTCGTGAAAATTGTCAAACATATTCGTCCGAATGAATGGTTTTAAGTTCATTAGAAATGCGCCGAGAGATATTTAGTTTGAGTTTCAGAAGAAGGAAGACATGTTCCGTTTTCAAAGTGTCCCAGATTTTTCGTTGCACAGATCTGCATTATACTGAGTATGCCTCAGATTAAATTGACCGACTTGACGTCATTTAATAATCCACCCTCGTTGCTAAGGAACCAAGTAAGAATTCTAGATTCATTCCCTGAAAGTTTTCTTGACAGGCCGCGTGAAAGGTCTTATTTTTATCATTCGGCTCGGGTGATAAAGAGTTGTTTCAACTGAGGAAGTGTTGAGCCGCTTTTGTTTTGTGAAAGCCGTCAAAGAGTCAAATGAATATGTCTTAGATCACATACAAAAAATATTGATATACGTGAAAGGGTGCAAAATTTTGGAATGATTACGGAAACCATTGATAAAATGAGTTTTACGAATTTTTAAGCGTTCTTTGCCTAAGTTAAAATAAAGATGAATTTCTGACTTCTTCATCAATAATTTTTCTTCGGAACGAATTTGTTGGCGCAATTTCAATGATACAGTTGGCACTTACTTGTTTCCAAGGAACTTCATTTGAAATTAAAAAAATATCCTGACATTTCTATTATTGATGCCAGCTGATTGCCTTGGGGAGTAAAACAAAACAACAATATCTTACAGATGATGAATTGTCAAGGAACTG